CTTGAGGTACACCATATTTAATTACTTTAAGAGATGAGGTAACTGTGTTCATTTTTGAAGTCTTTTGATCCATATAGTGAATTTCAACAAACTGTGATCTATCTGTAAGATACGATCTCATCCATGCATGAGATATTCCTCTCACTCCATAAGGTTCCAACTTTGCAAGCAGCAAGTTATGATTAATAACATCAAAAGCCTTTGATAGATCCAGAAATATACCAAAGGCCAGTTGTTTATTATCTAGTGTTTTCTGAATTTCTCCAATAAAAGTTTAATTGCCGTGGATTTATTTTTTCTAAAACCATTTTGAGCATTTGATATCAGATTGAATCTATTTAAGAAATTTACAACCCTATTGTACATCAATGTTTCAAGAATTTTTGAAAAAACAGACAAAATTGAGATTGGTCTGTAATTTGCAATATTTTGTTTCTGTCCTTTCTTAAAAATAGGTCAAACTTTTGCAATCTTCATTTGATTTGGAAAAATGCCAGAACTTAGTGACAGATTAAATATAAAAGTCAAAGGCTTTTTTATGGTTTAGATACATTGTTTAACATATCCGGAATGCACAGTAGAACTCATAATTATAACAAAACAGGCATTATGAAATGAGTTTACAATGAACAAAAATCATAAATTACAAATATAATACACAAGTGAGCCATACAATTTACATTCAGATATGTTTATTATAACTACTCTCATTATTGATCAAAGTACTCTTCTAATGAGTAGAATGAATTCGCGTATAAAATTTTTTTTAAAGTGGTTTTGAATTTAATTATGTTACCATTAACATTCTTAATATGAGAGGGTAATTGGTTAAAGATTTTTATCCCTGAATAATAGGCTCCTTTTTGATAAATGGATAAGTTTGCCTGTGGAGTATATAAATTATTACTTTGCCTAGTTTCTAGGATGTGACTTTTAATGCTTGTTATAAAAAGGTCTTTATGTTGAACTACAAACATCAATAAGGACAATAAATATCGAGATGTCAGAGGCAAAAGATGTAGTTTCTTAAATAAGTCTCTACACGAAATCCTATTCCCACATCCTTCCATAATTCTAATTGCTTTTTTCTGTAAACGAAAAATTGTGGTGCTGTGTGGGGAATTACCCCAAAATATGATTCCGTAGCTCATCAACGAGTAAAAGAAAGCAGCGGTCCAACCGTTCATTGCTGTATGGCCTATCTACTGACAGTGGTATACAGCAACTTACAAATGAAAGATGGTATATGTCTCAGCATGCATGGTATAATATACAATTATAATTTAATGTTGAAATTGGTCTTACTGTTGAAAATTGGGATCTACCCTGTTAGTAGTAGTAATGAGGAATATTGTTTATTTATGGCGGTAGTGTTTCATGTACATACACTCACTGAATTTCCTAGGAGTCAGCATAGCTCAGTATAGTGACAGGCAAGAGGCTGGATGGCCTGGGTTTGATCCCCAGCAGTGCAAGATTTTTCTCTTCTCCATGGTGTCCAGAGCGACTCTGGGACCCACCCATTTCCTGTCCATTGGATTGGGGGCTCTTTTCCCTGAGGGTGAAGTGGTAGGGGTATGAAGCTAACCACTCATCTCCATCTGGTGCTTAGGTCAAGAAAGGTGGACCTATACCCCATATGTCTTCATGGCATAGTGCTGAACTAATTAATCACAGGGACAACTTTTTTTTTTTTGCATTTCCTGAATTTCCTATTTTCTCATTGGTTTTAGTTAGTACATTAGAGGTTGCCTTATGGTTTGTGGTGAACCAAAATAACTTGGTTTACAGTTTGAGGAATAGAATAAATATTGTAACGTGTTTACGTTACCGAAGACGCCGTAGAGATGGTTAATTGGTTTATTTAACAATCTATAAGTAACGGCTACAATTAATTATTACACAGTTGTGGGGTTTCACACTTTATAACCCTAAGCGCATTAATCTGTTAACACTGTTGCGAGGTTTCACACTTTATAACCCTATGCGCAAATCAGTTCGCTCTGCCTTCAGTAGGCTACACGTTTACAGTAGGGGAGCTTTGTATCACTGTATCACACACTCCCAATTACACAATCACACACACGTCCGGTTCTTCTTTCCGCGACGGCTGCTATACTCCAATGGTAGTCGGCTGACTGGAGAACTGTTGATAACACACGCGGCGACTGTTACGTTACAACTCGGAACTGTCTTCGGCGATGGCCAGGTTACAACTAACTCGGTGGCTGTCACAGTACAACTGACTCACAGCCGCTGTGCAGCTCACTTATACAGCTGCAGTGCTGCCCGGTTGCGTAATGAGTGCCACGTCACAGTAGGAAGTTGATTACGGGTACGTAGCGTTGCGCGTTACGTCACCGCGGAGGGGTGGGAGGGGAGCGCTGCGTTACCGCCACGCGCCTGTGGCCTGAGTTGCCACGTTGCTGCTGGGTAGGGAGGAGTTCTCCGCTGCGCAACATGTTACACTGCTCCCTCCTTAAGGCTGTTCGTCCCAAATAGCCTAACGGTGCACCCCCGTTCCTTTTCCGTCCCGTAGCTGTGCTTGCAGTATCTCCTGTTGTTTCGGCTACTCTTCTTGCAGCGACTATTCTTCGTCCGTTACATCCGCTCCCCTCTTAAGACAAAGCTCGTCTCGAGCGGTTTCCTTTCAGCTCGCCAGAAGATCCAGTCGTGTCCCATTCATCCATCACTTTCATTCTCTGGCACATTCACTCTCTCTGGGGAGGCCGGGTCTTCTACATTACCGGTTCCTCCTCTGCATGAAGTCTCCTTTTCCGTTTTGGAGGAGGTCGTCCCCTCCACAAGGTCCAATCCTTACCGTGTCGTAGGCCGACAGAAAATCTGGCCACTCGCTCGGCGATCTGCAGTCTTGCAGTTTTTCTCAAGTCTGCTTCCTTCACATATCGCGGCTGTCCGCCGCCTAGGTCCTTCACTTCATTTCTGCGTTGTAGTTGATGTCTCAGGCCTTGGTCCCTGATGCCAGTGTTGCGTTCCGGCCCTTTCCACAGTCTCTTCCCGAACGTCCGTTTCTTGGCGATTTCCAGTGCGACCTTATTCTTGATTTGTCCCATACGCCTGTGTCCTACACAGCGTGTAATCTTTATTGTGGTGGCGGTCACTTCTTTCCGCTGACATCCAAAGGTTCCCAGGGGACTATCCTTCTTGAAGGCAATTCTCCAACGTCGTGCCACTGTCGCGCGACGGGATGACTTCCTGCAGGGGGCAGCCAACTTCATCCGGGGTCCACAGTTTTCCCGTGTCGAATTCTTTATATTTCGTCGATGTCGGTCCCTGCACCTTTTCTTCTTCGGTTCTCCGACCGGCATTACTTCGGCGTCTTGTATGGGTACCTCTAGTAGTTCTGCCGCCTCAGGTTTCCTGTTCGCTGAAGCCGGCGTTTCATCTTCTGGACGTGCCT